AGCAGGAATCCCTGGTAACTCGGAAACAATGGGGGAAGGGGAGAAAGGAAAAACTTTCCCCGGTAGCCTGCAAATGCAGGCCCTCAATCTTCCTAGTAATTCCCAGATATTTCTAGGATTTAGGGGGGGGACATTTTTTTTTCTGAAAAAAATCTCAGATACATTTGGGATGCTGAATATACCCAAAAAATGCCGATAAGATATTTTTTGGGCTTGGGTGTATCAGAATGCATACCCCTGTCCAAACCAAATCAGGTTCCTGTGTGCCTGATTTTTTAGAAAGAAAAAACCTGATTGATCTCTCAGTGGGAGTTTGAGTCCAGGTCTCCTCAGTGCTAACCAATGAATTGTATTGGCCATCCGAGATACTTCCCATCCATCCCCAGATCAATTAGGCTGTTTAAAAAATATATAATACAAAAATGTGTGTAATGTACATGTGGTAGAAGGAATGGGAAGTTCAAGGGCAGACCAAGACTTAAGGCCAACCAAATTTTCACTTGGATGACATGTACAACTGTCAGGCAGGTTGGAAAGCCACGAAGAAGTTGTGGGTGAAGAGCTCTCAGTGACTTCTCGTCAAGTATTATGTCTGTCTTCACCTACGTTTGTCTCAGGAATTGGACATCTTATCCTTGAGTCATTTGCTGACCATGATCTAGCACTTTGTATTTCTAAAGGATAGACCTTTTACTGAGTCACACCTTGGGTACTCAAGCTCATTATTGTTCGCCTGGACTGTCAGCAGCTATCTGAGCTTGACGCAGGCAGAGACCATCCCAAAACTTGCTGCCAGAGATCACAGCACATGTTCTGTTATTGTGCTCTAACGACTAAATTTTTATTTATTTATTTTCATTATTTATAGTCCATCTTTCTCACCTGGATTTAAGGCCGATTACACAAAGTGAGTCAATACAATCAACAAGACAGGACATTCAATCTGGGGGGGTGTATTTTTTTATATGTATGTGAGTGTGTGTGCACCTGGAAGTCATGGTGACCTCTGGTGATGGACCCCTACTGGAGGCCTGGAGGATATTCAGAGAGGTGGCAGAATAAAGCCTGCCCATGTCCTCCCAACTGCTGGTATTTCAAGGTCTCCCATCCAAGTACTTACCAGAGTCGACCCTGCTTAGCTTCTGAGATCTGACGAGATCAGGCTTGCCTGGGCTATCCAAGTCAGGACAGGACATTCAGTAAACAATGCAATAGGAAGCAAAGCATAAGTATTAATATGACACATTAAATGACGCAAACATTAAATAGTAGGATCCTAGTTTCAGCAAGCTAAACACAGTAGTATAAACCTCAGTCCCTAATAATTAATCCAAGTGACTTTGTGAATCTTTTTGTATAGTACAAGTCTTGCCTGTGTAGAAAAGCCTTCCCGAATAATTCAGTTTTGCATAGCTTGTGGAAAGGTAGGAAACTCAGAGCCTTCCTGACCACCTTAGGCAGGCCGTTCCATAAAGTGGGGGCCGCAACAGAGAAGGGACGTGTACAGGCAGTTGTTGATTTTGCCCATTTGCAGGTTGGCACCTGCAGAAGGCAATGCTCCAATGAGTGAAGCTGTCATGGTGGAGCATAGGGGGAGAGATGGTCTTGCATATATGAGGATCCAAGGCTGTGAAGGGCTTTTTATGTGGTAGCCAGTATCTTAAATTGAGCCTAATAATTGATGGGCAACCAGAGAAAGGCCTGCAAGATCAGAGTAATATGTGTACTGTATCTAGCTACTAATAATAGCTGAACTGCGGCATTTTGCACCAACTGGCATTTCCAAATTGATTTTGAGGGGAGACCAATGTACAGTGAGCTACAGTAGTCTAGTCTCAGTGTAGCAATGACGTAATGCAAGTGGACAGATCAGCCGTATCAAGGTAAGGGGCCATCTTTCAGGCTAGGCTGACTTGGAAGATTGCCTGTTTTGCTGCTGCATTAAGTTGCTTCTCCAGTAGTAACAATTGGGTCCAGTATAACCCCAATGAGTCAGCTGAACGCCATCAAAAGTAGGGAACACAGTATCATTCAAGTAGGTAACCTGTTGAGAAGACGCACTGGAAGGGGAAGGCAGTTTTTGATCAGTCTTGTAACTGTTTGCTAGTGAATTTCTGTTAACAAAGAACTGTGCTGGGAGATGTGGCCTGTTAAAGAGAACAAAGTATGATTTAGCCAGTTTCATTATTAGATAGGGAGAGAGGCTTAAACTTCTAGAACATAAGACGAGCTTACCTTCCATATCAGACCAGTGGTACCTGTTGTGCATTATCACAGTTCACACAGCAGCCAACCAGTTGTCCTGGAAAGCCAACAAACAAGGCTTAGAGGCCAAGGCCTTCCACTGATGTTGCCTTGTAGTACTGGTATTCAAGATTGCTTCCTCCATAAATAGAGGTTCCTTTACTCACTGTATCTGGTAGCCATCAATGACCCTTATCCTCCATGAATCCATGTACGCTCATGGCCATCACTATGTCCACCAGCAGTGAATTCCACAATTTAATTACCCATTGAGTAAAGAAGTATTTACTTAGGCTGGCCTATACCTATTACCAATCAATTTCATTTGTTGCCCCCAAGCTCTAATATTATGGCAGAGGGAGAAAAAGCTTCTCTCTATCCACTTTCTCTACCACATGCATAATTTTATAAACCTCTTTCTCCCACCCCATCATCTCTTTACTAAATTGGAAATTCCCACTCTCTTCAGCCTTTCTTCATAGGAATGGTGCTCCAACTTCATAACTGTCTCAGTTGCTCTCTTCTGTACTTTTCACAGCTTTTCAATATCAGTTTTGAGGTTAAAATGTCCAGAATTGTGTATGAGACCTCATTGTAGCTGTATAAAAGGACATTACAATATTGGCTACTTTATTCTCCGTCCCTTTCTTAAGAATCCCAGCATGGAGTTCACCACTGCTGCATACTGAGTTGACATTTTCATCACGCAATCCAGTAAACCCCCAAATCTCTTTCAGTCCAAAGAACTGGTGAAGTAGGCCTTTAGGACTTCCTTTTGCATAAGCTATGCTGAATTTCCCACTGCAGGCTGTATTCCTCATTGTGTTTAATATTCTATCTTTAATAACTTTAATTCTACTAATTTACCAGGTGCAGATGTTAGGTTAACTGGCCTGTAATTCCCTACATTCCCTCTGGGCAGCTTTTTTCAAAGTTGTTGTGGCCATTTGCTAGGTTCCAGTCCATTGGCACAGAGGCTAATTTTAGCAACAAGTTGCATATGCTGGTTAGTAGATCAACAGTTTCACATTTGAGCTCCATAAGTCTCATCAGGTGAATGCCACCTGGAGACTTAATAGCTTTCAGTTTGCATTGTACTCATAGAACTTCATCTCTTATCGCTTCACTTTTACTGAGTTCTTCAGATGCCTTTTCTGAAAACCACAGTTCTTTCTGGGCCTCAGTTAGTGTAGTTTTTAATTTAAATAGTTTCCAGGTATCCTGGAGGGATTTGATTTCTAGATACAAGGCCAACAGAAAGAGAAGAATAAACAGGAAGGAAGCCTGAGTGTTGCATTCTGGAACATCCTTAGAAAGTAGCTTTAGCAAGCATCAAAAGAGAAGTACACTAACTGGCTTTGCTCACTTTGCTCCCTGCAGGAGCTTCTTTAGTATACTTCACATTGTATATTCCAGTAGTTAGAACTGGTTTAAAGCCATTTCTTAGATTTTTTGTATTCATACTTTGTGTGGAATGAGACTTTATTATCAGTACCTCTTAAGAGTTTCATTCATAGAATCACAGAGTTGGAAGGGGCCCCATGGCAGGACATATCAGCACCGACCGCTCAACATTGAAGAGCTCGGAAGCCATGCCTCAGTCGACCCCCTCAACTCCTGCTAAAAAATGCAGAGAGGGTAAAAGGGACAAAGCGGGCAAGATCCACAAAACAAAGTCTGGATTGAAGCCGATCCTGATCACCATCGAAGCCAATCCCTCCAGCACCAATACTGAAGAGGTCGGCACTGAAAGAAAAGTTGCTGCCAATGAAGAAGCATAAGGCTTCACACAGCATTACAGCACCACATCCACCACCGTCTCCTCCATCTGCTCTTCACTGCGACAGCAGTCGATCTTGGGAATCCTCGGTCTCTGGCTCAGATGCTTCAGGTTTCAACTCTGATAAGGATTCTGAGGCTGCAGAGTCTGACCACCCCTCCCCATCGGGAGCTCCCCCCCCCCAACCAAAGGAGTGACAATCTCCCCATATTACCATCAGAGGACTTGAAGTCATACGGGGAATTGGTCAAGCACGTGGTTCGCACCTTGGGGGTATCCATTGTCCAGCCAAAACAGACCATCACAGATTCAGTCTTTGATATCCAACTGGACACCTCAATGGCCATCTTTCTCCCAGTAACCAATGTGATCCTCCAAGCAGCCAAAACTTCTTGGGACACACAATCATCAACACCAATTTCATCCAGGCATTTGGAGCATATGTATCGGGTCCAAGAAACTGTGGCAGAATTCCTTTCCTGTCATCCTAAACCCAACTCAGTAGTAGTCACCTTGGCATCGAGAAGCAAATGTACCCACTCAGCCCCAGTGGACAAGAAAGGCAGGAAACTAGATGCATTCGGCAGAAAGTTTTATTCAGCAGCTGCCCTAGGAGTGAAAACGGTATGGGCTGTTATCAGGGGTCATTTGGGGGGGGGGGACGCGGGGGGACGCCATCCCCCCGGGTGAGGTGTGGGAGGGCGGGGCCTGGAGCTCCCTGCTGGTGCCCACTGGAGGTCGCCGCCAGCTGTGGGAGGACACACTTCCGGTGATGTCAGGGTGTGTGGCATATGCTAATAAGTTATGCTAATGAGTCCCCCTAGCTCTTTTTCTACGAAATGACCCCTGGCTGTTATCAATATTCTTTGTGGAAACAAGTTGGAGATCCTACCAGCTCTTCCTGAGGATAAATGCCTTGTGGCCAGATGCTTCCAGAAGGAGGGCATGACCCTCTCAAAACATGAACTGAACTCCTTCAAACACATGGTGGACATCTTTGCCAAGACCATCATGTCTGCTATAGCCTTGCGCAGACATTCTTGGTTTCGCTCTACATCACTTCCACAGGATACTCGCTCCTGCGTTGAAGATCTCCCATTTGATGGACAAGGCCTGTTCGATTTCACAACAGATGTGGTCCTGCAAGACATGGACAAGAGTATTAGAACGTCATGCAACCTGGGGATGACTGGCCTTGCACACCCCACAAAACACAAATTGTGGTCTCGTTCATGGCTCAAATGCCAATATTCTAAGTTGTCTCCAGAACAGCCTTGGAAGAGCAAGCAATTACAACCAGGCAATCATCCCACCTATACCAAGTCGAAGTTCCAGTCTGGTCAGCAGATGTCTAGACCTAAGGATTCTAGAACACCCAAACAGGGCCTTTGGCGTGCCCCACCCTGTCATGCCCACCCCCGCCCCTCCCATCCCACCCCCGGGGCACACACTTATCATCCTTCCTCTCGGAATGGGAATGGGTGACACTGGACAAATGGGTGCTTTCCATCATTTTGGAAGGTTATGTGATAGAGTACCACAACACACCTTCTACCCCAAATGTCGTCACAAGTCCTACTAGAAAAAGTCCAGATCCTCCTGGAAAAACCTGTCCCTCCACAGTTCGAAAGTTGGGATTTTTACTCCAGATACTTCACTGTCCCAAAGAAGGACGGAGGCCTCTGTCCTATCATGGATCTATGAGCTCTGAATTAATTTATCGTCTATCATAAGTTCCGTATGGTATCTCTGCAAAACATCTTACCGCTCATCAAACCCAATGCTTGGATGGCTACCATAGACCTCCAAGATGCATACTTTCAACTCAACATCTGGCCACCTCATCATCAATACTTGAGATTACTATCGGGACACAGCACTACCAATACAAAGTCCTCCCCTTTGGGATTTCCACCGCACCACGTACCTTTACGAAAACTATGGTGGTGGTAGCAGCCTATGTATGACATCAGGGCACGCTGGTCTTCCCATACATAGATGACTGGCTATTGTTTGCAGACTTAGAAACCAATATGCACAAAGACATACAGAGGACAGTCAGTCTCCTGTCCTCTCTTGGTCTCCAGATCAACCACAAAAAATTGCACTTGACACCAGCACAGAAGGTGGAGTTTATTGGTGCACTTACTGACTCCACAGTCAATCAAGTGTTCCTTCCGAAAGACAGAGCTCTAGCTATAATGGCATTAGTACAAAAGATCCAAGACGCTCCAAAGATGATGGCTCTGGAAATCCAGCGGCTGCTAGGGATGATTGCAGCAACAACAGCAGTCCTTCCCTTTGCCAGACTTCACATGCGAGTGATGCAGGGCCCTCTCTGGAACTGGCTTGTGAGCAAGGGAAACCTTTACCTATATTTTGTATATTTAAAATTATTTAGAATTTATCATCGTGATATGTCTGACTTCATTTGAGTGATTTTTCTATGAGATTTTTAAAATCATTTTTTATATTTTTTTGTTTTTTTATTTGAGGCCCCAGCAGATTGCGAGGCCCTAAGCTGTAGCTTGTTTAGCTTATGCGTAAATCCGGCACTGGGCACATCTAATACCACAGACTTAAAGTGGTTTGATGAATATCCTGTCCTTGCAGTATTTGCAGTTTTCTGCAGATGATAGTTCTCAAACGCCAAATTGTTGGCACCCTCGTTGGCCTAAGATTCCCAAGATTCTTGAAGGTGGTGGTGGGGAACATTATGAGAGTTAAGCTGGTATAATACCAATATATTTTTGTCTGCAGCAAAGATACACCTCTGCTGTCTTTATTTCTTTTCCATCCATGCTGCAGTGTACTGCAATATGTGGGCAGGGCTACCAAATGAGAGCTGTGAAATGTGTGGTCGGTGCCTATGTCTCTGTGGTAGATGATAACGAGTGCAATGCTGCCACCAAACCAACAGATACACAGGTATGTGTGTTGAGACGGAAAACATACAACAGTCTGTATTCATTTAACAATAGGAGGGAGTGGAGAAGCCCTTCAGCTCCTAACATGGAAGTAGGCAACCTTGTGTGCTTTCTTTGCCTCTGCAACCCTAGCTGCCACTGAGGGCTCTCTGGGGAAAAAATCAGAAAATTGCTGTAGTGGTAACACAATTATTGATTAATTTTAAAAAACCGACAACCTGAAGAAGTGTTCCAGTGACACAGTGGGGGAAATGGCAACCCCAGAGGGCTGATGCAAGGAAAATGGTGGTGGTGTGGCATTAAAAAATGCATATCTGCCTGTTCACACAGTGTGCAAATGTGCTTGGACTGCAGTCTTGACAGGAAAAAAAAATGTACTGAACCAGGTATGGGCAAGATCTGATTAAAGTGTGTGTGGGGGGGAATTGGAAAAGAAGATGCTTCTAAAAATAGTGCTCCTGTTTTGAAGCAATGACAGACCAAAACATGTGGAAGCAGCCCTGTCTTCAAAGTTAAAACTAATATCTCTGCCCTGTTTCTGTCTTGTCCACATGATAAGCCGTGATCTTCTTTGTAGGTCTTTGTGTGTTTTCTTTTGTGGAGTAACTGGTGTACACTGGTACAAGATACATGCTTCATAGAGCACTATAAGAAATAGTCAGCTGGCGTGTATGGATCTCTAAGGCCTTGCATTTTTACAGGGAAGCGATGAGTTACAGGTAGATTCAAAAATCATTGCAATTTAGGCTTCTATCTTTTACACTGCCACAAATGCACTGGGAATATCTGCCTTTAAGCTTCAAAGAACTGTTTGTAGTAAACAATCATCTTAAAGACAGGTGGACTCCCACGCAATATTTCCTAATAATACAGCTACAGCCGTCTGCAGAAAAATACCAGGAGCTGCAGATACTCTTCAATTTACCTTTTTTTAAAAAATGTGTATTGTCATTTGTGAAATAGGACTGTGAAACAGCACCCTGTCATCTTCACCCAAGCAATCCAGAAACAAAAGAAAGTACACCTGGCAGCCACAGGACACAGTGGAGATTTGGATCCTGGACTCCAGTACGTTAAACTGGTCAGCTGTAGAGTACCAGGGGACATTTGAGTTCTGTTGGTGAACACTGCAGCCATACATCTGCAGTGTTCTATTTGCATGGGTCATCTTTCCCATTGGCATTCTTGTCAATCTTTCCTAGTGTTCAACTACGTGTGGGAAAGGCACCAGGATGAGATATGTCAGCTGTCGGGATGATCAGGGCTCTGTGGCTGATGAGGCTGCCTGTTTCCAACTTCCGAAGCCGTCAGTGACAGAAGTGTGTACTGTAACACCATGTGGACGGTGGAAGGCCATGGAATGGAGCTCTGTAAGCAACTTCCTTGTTTAAATTGAACATCTCCCATTTGTCCCCTTGTTGCTTTTTATGTCCCATTTATCACACTCTCCAGTGCATTTTGAAGAGCAGATCAAGGAAATTCAGAATAATTGTCCCAGTCTTAGGGTCATTTCGCACAATGAGCCACTGTGATGTAGTGGTTAGAATGTTGGACTAAGATCTGGGAGACCCTGGTTTAAATCCCCATTCTGCTATGGATACTTATTGAGTGCCTTCAGGCTAGTCACACGCTTTCAGCATAACCTACCTTGCAAGATTGGAGGAGAGGAGAACAATGTAAGCCTCTTTGGGTCCCCGTTAGGGGACAAATGTGGAATATAAGTAAATAAAGTCCTTGTAACTACCAGATGTGTATGTATTTGACATGGCTACCAGGAGTTTCTCCCTGGGAACTTAATTCTCAGGTGTGCGCAGGTCCCGTTAGGATCAGGAGAATAGCTTGAGCCTGAAAAGACCATGGGGATTCACTTTTTGCTTTGCTGGGAAGATTAATGCTTAGCCATGAGTCCATGTTAACTTTATCCAGTGGGGCAGATAGCAGCTTCCCGGGGCCATTCCAGGTCATGAAAATGGTGTGAGGAGGCGAGGCTTAAGCCCCTTCCCCTATGTGCCATAGGCCCAATCTGAACTGGGCCAGTACATGTCGGGGAATTGAGTTCTTAATGGCGATTTCCAGGCACATGCCAGACAAGGGCTTTATAAGAGAGCCAGTTTGATGTAGTGGTTAAGTGCAAGGACTCTAATCTGGGAGAACTGGGTTTGATTCCCCACTCCTTCACTTGCAGCTGCTGGATGACCTTGGGAAAGCCATAGTTCTGTCAGAGCTGTTCCTGAAAGAGCAGTTCTTGAAAAAGCTCTTGAAAGAGTTCTTGAAAGAGCCCCACCTACCTCACAGGGTGTCTTTTGTGGGGAGGGTAAGAGAAAGGAGTTTGTAAGCCACTCTGAGACTCCGAGTGAAGGGCAATCTCTTCTTCTCTTTCTTCTTCTAACATATGAATCAGCCCCTACGTTTCTCCTTTTCTTGGCAATGCATTCCTTGTAGTTGCCACTTTAGTGTTCTCATCTGCTGTACCACACAGCATGTATCGTGTATCCTGGCTCAGCTGCTTCAGTTTTCCTGGGCTATCAGTTGAGCAAGGGCCATCTTTTTTGCTTGTGGCACTCTCTTGTTGGACTGCTAGATAGATTGGTGGAGGGTTCGTAGATAAATGGTCCTGCCTTTTGAGCTGGGTGTTGGACTAAAACCACATCCAGACAGTATTTTCTCCTGCAGCTGATTTGGCACTATAATGCTAGATCTGAAAAGGGAGGGAGGGTTATGAGTAGCGCAGGGGTCATGTGTGACAATCATTCTTATGGACTGTTCCACCCACACTGCTTCTGCTAGTCCCCAGTGTGCCATTTAAACATACCTTTAAGCAGGATAAGGATTGCCTTGGTATTTATAGATACAGACGCTTGTTGTATGTTTAAACCCTTCCATTTTTGGGTCTAACAGATGTGATGTTGGAGATTTGGATAGATTTTTTAAATTAAAAATTAGCTTTATTGGGGGAGATAGTTTGGATCAGAAACAGGCACGAAGGGGGGGGTTTCCTAATGCATTTTCCTAATGCACAATGGCCCCATGGATCTGCAGTTTGCCACACTGGGAAAACATATGGGTACTGGTGTCTATACCTGTATTGTTCCCCTTGTTGGGCAAATAGCAGCTTTACAGGGCCATTTCAGGTAGAGGAAAAGCACGTCTTACTGTTGTACTGCAGTCACAATCCAAATCACACACACACATTCATGGAATTTCCCAACATTACATTTGTTTGACACCTTCCAACTTCGAATGAAACTACATGTTGTAATTTACACAAGTTTTCCATGGGTACTTGCAGCCATATTGTATCCATGAGTTTCCAGTGGGAACTCCATTTAAAAGCACCCTGGCTGCCTGATTTGGATCAGCATTGTGGCATGGGGGGGGGAGAGGATAGCTCCAGTCTCCCTCTGCACCGTTTTCCCAAGCCAGAATGGCACGGTGAGTCATTATAGAAACTAGGAATAAGGCTTGTTGTGGAAATAAATACAACAAGCGCTAGAAAGAGGTTCTGGTTGGGTGCCCCAGCCTTGGGCGCTCAGTGTCAATTTGCTGTGGTGACTTCAGCAGGGTATAGTGACACAGAGTCCACCATTTTCTCCAGGGGAACTGATCCCTGCCATCTGAAGAGCAGTTGTAATTCTGAGTGATCTCCAGCCCTCCCCTGTAGATTGGCAACAATTGTTCCCCAGGAGGAAATGGCTGGTTTGGAGGGTGGAGTCTATGGCATCGTATCTGTCTGAGGACCCACCCCTCCTCAAACCCCACCCTCTCCGGGCTCCATCCCTCAAATCTCCAGGAATTGCCCAACCTGGAGGTGGCAACTCTATCTCCTTCCCAGCCAACCATCAACCTACCATTATCTGCCCATCTGACTTCAGCTTTCCATTCCCTCCCTACAGCCTCTACCTAGGATAAGTACAGTCTTTCTCCTCAGTGGGGACACAAGGAGGAGAGAAACAACCTCATCAGGGTATAATGACACAGAGTCGACCCTGCAAAGCAGCCATTTTCTCCAGGGAGCTGATCTCTGACATCTGGAGAGCAGTTTTAATTCTGAGTTATCTCCAGCCCTCACCTGGCGATTGGCAGTAGTGGTTCCCCAGGAGAAAATAGCCGCTTTGGAGGGTGGACTCTATGGCATTCTGTTCAGCTGAGGCCTCTCCCCTTCCCACACTCTGGCTTTCATAGACTCCACCACAAAAATATCCAGGAATTTCCAAACCTGGAGCTGGCAACCCTAGTCAGGACTGGCCCCAATGAGTTCCCCACAAAGGCCAAAGTAGGCCTGGAAAGTGCTTCCTGCCCTTGCCTTTTTATTGACAGAACCAAGCTTGGTTGCCTAGCAACAGCCACTGAGGGGAAAGTTTGCCCCACAGCAGGAGGAGAAGAGAATGGTTTGATGGCCAGTAGCTCACCTCAGTAGCCAGCCAGCCAGCCACAGAGGAGCCAAGCAGAAGAAGCGTCTTCATTGAGACTGCCATTTGGCAGTTTATTCTGACAGGGAAGCCTGGCCAAGCCAGCAGTGGGCGGGAGAGAGGAGAGAACCCAGCACCCAGTCAGTGGCATGCAAGTACTCTTGAGTGATGGTTCATGGGCCAGTGGCTGATGGAACACACAGCACAGCCAATGGGAGAGTTTGAAAGTGCCCATACGTTAGGGCTTTTATATATATCAGATAACACTCTTTTGGCTTGGGAAACTTGTGAGTGGGAGAGATGGGAGCCCCTCCATCCCCCATGCAGTAGTCCCTATCTAAATCAGGCCCTGTTGCACTTTCAAATGGAGTTCTTGCTAGGAATTTGCAGCCGCAATCTGTCTCTGAGACCCCAAGGAAGACTGGCATATCTTGTAGCATGTAATTTCGCTTTCTGCTCCCATACCTCTTTGAAATCATAAGGCATGTGATAGCCACATTGTGCAGCTGCTTACAATCGTTTCCCACAAATAAATAATTTCACATGGTTTTTAAAATCCACATCTCTTTGCTAAGGATGACCATTTCCATTTCTCTCTGCTGTTAATATAGTGCTCTGTAACCTGTGGGCAAGGTAAAGTGACTCGGCAGGTAGTCTGCATAGATTACAATGACCAGGTTGTTGAAAGGAGTGAATGTGATCCTGAGGACATCCCTGCAACAGAGCAAGATTGCTCTATGCCATCATGTCAGCAGATCAACCCTGACTACAACAGGCCGATCCATCCTTTCCCTTATCCTGATTATCGCCAGAATCATAACCCGGGTGGAAACCTGAACCGAAACCAAGGCCGTGGACATGTTCATGGAGGCAGTCAGTGGAGAACTGGACCATGGGGAGCAGTAAGTAGCTGGTAGAGATATATTTAATTGCATTGTGAATTGGCTTGGTTGTAAGTTATTTCCAGGCTGTACCTATCCTGCCCACTTTCCAAGATTCCATGACAATGGGGAACAATAATTTGGTGATCAGAATAAGCTACATTACTTAAGTATGCTTGCGTGGTTTTTTTCATAATTTCAGGGATCTGGGGTTTGAACGGAACTGCTCCCATGTCTCTTTGAAATCATAAGGCATTTCGATCCCCCCTCCCAAATATTGGGTGGGTTTGCCAGGAAGGATGGAAAGGAGCCAAGATGGCTGTTACAGGGCAACTAGCAAGGCAGGGAATAATAGCCATAGGAGAAGGATAAAAACCTGAGTAAGGTGCAACTCTCTTCTCTCTGGCTGTTGCAATGTCTTGTCCAACCATCATTCTCACCTCTGTGCCTTTGCAGGGATTCTACTGCATGCCCCCAAGTTTGATTTTTTTGAAGAGCTAGAAACTTGTTTCATTTCGTTTTAAGTCATTATATGTTTTGCTCCTGTTGCCAGACCAAAGGACTGCTTTATATGGTAGAGTGTTTCTCCTCCAGATCTTCCAGATGACAGCTTCTTAATATGTAGAGATAAACGGGGATGGGATACTTTTTCTGAAACATCTTTATAATGGTTGATAGAAAAGTTCTAATAGTTGTGCTGATGCTTCCCAAAATACACTTTAAATACTAGAATTTATTATATTAGAATGTAAACTCTAAAGACACTGGGAGTCTTCATATATTGTGGCCATCCTGAAGAGGAACGTGCCACATTTGGCTTTAACACTTGTAGCCGCTGGGCATCTGTCTTGATCTGATTAAAACTGAAAAGGAAATTCCATTTGTGGATATCAGCATCTTTACATTTGCTTACGGACTAGCCAGGCTTTGATCTGAGGAGGTTGTTTATTTGGTCCTGCATAACCTGAACTTGTATTATATCACTGCAAAGGTATTCCATGGATCCCCAGGTTAAGTGTGGAAGTTTTATGAGTCCGAAGGACTGATTGCCTGGAATAGGGACCTGCGGAGACATAATAACAGCAAAAAGCAGTTGCCTGAGAAAGTAATGGAGAATCATTCCTCAAACATAAAGGACCCCAGAATTTCCTGGATGGATCCAGCCAAAGAGCTTACTAGTTCAGTATTCTGATTCCAGCAGTGGCCATTTAGATGCCTTAAAGCTCAAGTGAGCTGTCAAGCTGATGGTCATTTTTTGTCCCTAATATCTGGTACTCAAAGGCATACTGCTTTGGGACATGGCTATTAACCCCCCCCCCCCTAAATACAAAGTCAAAAGAATTATAAATAAAACCAGCCTCAAATACATACCCACTCACAGATAGTAGTAACGTAGGCCCCTGCCACACGGCAGGGAAACGACGAGGTAAAGCGCGGCTAAATAGAGCCGCTCCAAAGTTGAGACGCTGCGGTGGGATCCCACGGATCCCCTGGCCGCAGCGCCTCTTCTCCCCGGCAAGAGCAGACGCCGGGGAGGACGAGCCAGATGGGAGGGGGAGGCTGCCGAACTGCGCATGCCCGAGCATACGCAGTACGGCCGGGGGCCGGGATGCGGCGGCGCAAGGACGCGCCGCCGATCCCACGGCCGGCTTGGGGCGCCCCAGACGATTGCTACCACCTAGACGGGGCCATAGATATATTTGCAACCAAGAAACAGAACGTATCATCATATTAACCACACCACCAATATATACTGTAGAATATTATCTCTATCATTTTCATTGGGTTTCGTTCTATTCCAGTCGGTTAAGAAAGGTTGCCATGATGGACCCCTACTTCTTCTCTACTGTGAGGCAGATTTACCTGCCAAAACACTGTTCCCTCTGAGCAGCTCCTTAGCCAGTTTGTTGTAGTGGTTAGGAATGTGGACACTAATCTGGGCAAACAGGGTTTGATTCCTCACTCTTCCACATGCAGCTGCTGGTGTGACCTTGGGTCAGTCATAAGATCTTTCAGAGCTGTTCGCTCAAGGACAGTTCTCAGGAGAGCTCTCCCAGCCCCACCTACCTCACAGGGTGTCTCTTGTAGGGAGGGGAAAGGGATTGTAAACCGCTCTGAGACTCCTTTGGGTACTGAAGGGCAGGGTATAAATCCAATCTCTTCTCTTCTTCTTTCTGTCCCACCCTGTGATTGAGAAGTTATTTGGCTTTTGTCCAGGGCAGAGATTTATTGCAGTTAAGCAGGAGCCCTCTTATAAATTCCTTTGTAAATGGCACTTGACATGAAGTAAAGTTCAAATAAGAAAGTTGATTTTATTGAACATGCACAGTTGGGTTAGGAATAGGCTGGGGATGAGAAGCTGAGGCAAATTTTGTTGTTAATACAAATTATAATAATATTGTGAACAGGCAACAGAGTATAGTTGAAGCTTATTTTCTCTGAGACTGAGTTCTTAACTGTGAGAGGTTTGCTTGTCTTTGAGATTTCTTTCAGCAGTAATGTGTCTTAATAAAGTTTCATATAACTATCTTAGTTTCCTGGAAGTAATCACTTTCTTCCGGGATTTAAATACTTCCCTTGTGAGATTACAGCTTTCCTTTTGACTCTTGTGGAGTCAGAGGGTGTGTTCAGACGCGGCGTTTGCAACGGTATAAGTGCCGGTTGCAATCGGTGTACTTACCGGCATTCACACGTAGAACATCTGCCTTCCGTCCCTAACCGTTGCAAAGCCCTTTAAACCGTTGTATTCTGCCACTAGGTCCCCAAGTGGTGGTATCCTAAAACTGTTTCCCTTTTCACACAAACCAGGAGTCCCTTCTGAGTTGAACCCTCTGAATAACTGAGTAATAAATATCTTAATATTTCTAGGAGCGATAATCCTAGAGACTGTGAATAAATGGAATTCACCTAGGGCTGACACTTAGACTTTAAGTTTTGATTTCTGAACTTTTCCTCAAATGTGGTGTTACACAGTAAGGGTAAGGAGTTGGTCCCTTCACTTCCCAAGTGAACATGTGTGTTTCCCTCAGACTGAAACACACCCTCCTCCTGACTAGCTATTGCCAAGCCAAAGTCCAAAGGACGACTGACTGCCTCTGACAAGACTGACAAGACTTTAGAAAGCTCTCCTCAGCAGGTGCTGATCAATCAGAGAGAAGGGGTGTGCACAGGCAGCAGCCTGTCAATCAAACTGTGCTTTACAGTGAGACACTAGCCCCATCTCCCATCTCTCTGAATCTGATGCACTAAGTATCCGGGTTTTGGAGGTCAGTTCATCACAGTTTATCACATTTAGGGAGCTGCGGTGGCTCAAGTGGTTAAGATGCTGAACTGCAGGCTGTGGAAGGTCAGTATTTCAGCAGTTCGAGACCTGGGTGCCGCATGATGGAGCGAGCTCCCATCTCTAGTTCCAGCTTCTGCCAACCTAGCAGTTCGAAAGCAAGAAATTGCAAGTAGATAAATAGGGACCACTTCGGTGGGAAGGTAACAGCGTTCCGTGCACCTTGGTGTTTAGTCATGCCGGCCACATGACCACGGAAACATCTTCGGACAGCGCTGGCTCTTCGGCTTTGAAACGGAGATGAGCACCAGACCCTAGTGTCAGATTCGACTGGCTTTCAAGCAAGGGAACCTTTACCTTTACCTTTCATCACAGTTGCCAAAATCTTGCAAATTCCTCTTGACCAGATCCTCTTACCTCCATAGCTACTTATATTCTGTAATTTTCTCCATCAGCTAATATACCAGGGTCTATTAACTGTTGATGGACCTATTCCAATAGTTAACCTGGTGCTATTTTAAGAAGAATTGTATTGAGCATTGCATCTTGTGGTTGGGAATTGTGATTACACTTTGCACAGTGAGGACCTAGCACCACAGCACCTGCTGACACCTTTCCTGGTACCTGCCATGTGTTTTTAGAAAGAGGGTGGAGAGACAGGCAGGGCTCCTGCCCAGCAGAGCTTCTGTTTGGCTACTGGAGAGCTGATTGACTGTACAGATTAAAATGACATTGCTGGTTTTGTTCTCAGTTTGGTTTTATTCTTTCTCCCAGTGTATCTTTTGTCCTCTGCACTTGGACTTCTTTTGTGTGGTTGGCTCCACCACCTATGGTGGCCATTTTGTGGTGCCCACAGGCTCAAAAAGGTTGGAGATCCCTGGTGTAGAACATTCTGCTTTAAGCATGTTGATCTTGTTTAATCACTCTTAGTCCCTTCCAGTTCTGTATGATCATACGAACATCTAGATTCCTCCGTCAATGACTGTGTGTCCTTGGATAAATATTTGAACACTACTGCATTTAAGATACATTTGTATTTTTAACATGCCATCACAGCTGCTGATGGCATGTTACAGTTCTCAAGAAACAGTTCTCAAGAAACAAACAAGACAGGAAGTGGGTGGACTAGGGTGGGGGTTATAAGCAAGAGAATGAAATGAGGAACACTCAGTACCTAGTAATGTTAACCAGTGAGGTGTCCTAGACTGAGTTTTCTTAGCCTTTGATAATCATGTTTTATAGTGTTCCAGTACATGTGCTGGGGGATTTCAGCGGCGGGTTGTGGTGTGCCAGGATGAAAATGGATATACTGCTAATAATTGTGATGGAAGAGCAAAACCAGATGAGCAGAGATCGTGTGAATCAGGGCCTTGCCCTCAATGGGCCTATGGCAGTTGGGGTGAGGTAAGGAAAATATAACCTACTTCATCTTAAAAAAAATCACTGCCAAGATTATTTTAATAATAGAGGCATTATTGATTATGAAGCAGAATGTTATTTAATATTATACTGCATTTGAATTTCCTTTGGTGTAGTGGTTAAGAACGTGGACTTTAATCTGGGAGAACCGGGTTTGAGTTCCCACTTCTCCACATGCAGCTGCTGGTGTGACCTTGAGTCACTCACAATTACTTTCAGAGGTGTTCTCAGAAGAGCAGTTCTCTCAGAGCTCTCTCAGCCCCAGCTACCTCACAGGGTGTCTGTTGTGGGGAGGGAAAGGAGATTGTAAGCTGCTCTGAGACTCCAAGTGAAGGGCATAGTATAAATTCAGTCTTCTCCTCCTCCTCTTCTTCTTCTTCTTTGCTGTGGATGAGCCAAGTGAGAGGAAAACAGTTTAAAAATATTTAAAATATTTTAAAAATATCACAGTCTTCAGAAGCAGCAAAAGCACCACAAGTGGGTGATATTGTCTGTTTCCATAAGTGATGCTTCGTTAAGACTAGGACTTGTTTATTTTATTTATTTATTTATTTATTTATACTTATATTTATACCCCGCCCACCCTGTAAACAGGCTCTGCTTGGAAAACAACAGCTAAAGATCATTTTGGGGATGAATCACTCTGCCATCTACAGAGAATTCATGTGCTCCTGGGTGTACTGCTGCGTAGACAAAGCACCCTTATTGCAGTGAGTGGAGGAAGTCATAGAGAGTTCCATGAGTGTGCAAAGAGCACCTGTGGAGCTTTTGATCAAGGACTGTGAGTGCAATCAACAACTGAGACAGCTAAAAGCCCTGCAGGAGAACCCCTGTGATCAGAGCATCAGCTATCCAAATCTCCTGATTATCCCTCTTGGTAATTCTCCTGTCATTGCGGATGTGGTAGCTCTTTGATTTAAGCATTGGAAGGACTTTGAAACTACAGGAGGAGACACGACCCTTTTTTGCAGCATCTTTTTCTACATTTTCTGCAGAAATGGCTCTCCACAATGGAGGAACAGCCTCAGAGGACATGTACTTACAGAAATGTGTTATTATATCCCCCGTGCTCCTAATCTAGGGTTCATTTTTCTTTAGAAATAAACATAAAAGGTCTCCTGGATTTTTTATGAGCACCAATGTCGATACCAATTCTTTCCCAGAATTTACAAATGTGGGGATCCCTCAGACATCTTCCAACCCCCCCCTCCAAAAAAATGAAGTATGAAGAGGTAACACTTTGTGCTCCCCTGCAATCAAATCCAATCCTTCCAGAATTTGTTTTAATACACCAACAAGATCGCCTGTCTTTTGTGGATTAGAGTGTTGGACTAGGATCTGGGAGACCCAGGTTCGAATCCCCACTCTACTCTGGAAGCTTGTTAGGTGACCTTGGGCCAGTCACACATTATCAGTCTAATCTACCTTACAAGGTTGTTGTGAGGATAAAATGAGGTAGAAGAAGAATGATGTAAGACACTTTGGTTCCCCATTGGGAAGAGTTGGTCGAGTACAAATGAAATAAATAAATAAATACATTAATTCCCCCCCTAGTTTCTAGATGCATATGGATTAAGGGGAAGTCTCAGTGGTAGAGCATCTACCTGACATGCAGGAGGTCCAAGGTTCAATTACCAGCATCTCCAGCTAAAAGGATCAGGTAGGAGGTGATGTGAATGACCTCCGCCTGAGACCCTGGAGAGCCCCTGCCAGTCTGAGTAGACAACACTGATCTAGATGTTCCAAGGATCTGATTCAATATAAGGCAGCTTCATGTGTTTACTTGATCCACCCCCCTAAGGTCATCCAAACTGACTCTGTTGGATCACAGAAGAAAAGGAGCAATCGTATAAATGAGCCCAGTAATTGCTGATGTGATCTGTGTCTCCTGCCTTTTTCCAGTGTACCAAGCCATGTGGTGGAGGAACCAGAACGAGATTGGTTGTGTGCCAGCTTCCCAATGGAGAGAGATTTACTGATCTGAGCTGTGAAATCCTTGACAAGCCACCAGACCGTGAGCAGTGCAATATGCAGGACTGCCCTCGTGAGGCTGCCTGGAACACTGGCCCTTGGAGCTCGGTACGACCATAACATACTTCTGTATTGGGACGGGGTGGTGGTGGTGGTAATCATTTTACAGATTGTTCATAGGAACGGAGTGAGTGTGCTTAAAGTCACGGTGCTAATATTTGGGGCACGTATGTGTGTTTGTTTTGTTTTTTAAAAAGAAAACTGCACTTAAAAAAAATCGATGCATTCCAAATAAAACAGGCATTCAGGAAGGGCTTCAGCTAGGAAATCCACTCACTTTAAAAAGGCACTTTCTGCTTGATAGCAAAGTTTGTTTGTTTTATTAGCCCGTTGCAAGTGCTGCACATTGCAAATCTCCATTACGAAGGAACCCTTTGCAAGCAAACAAAAATAATTTCAACATTCAGTTTTCAATTTCTGAAAACCCTTTTTTTCCTCCTAAAATGACCGTTTAATCTTCCTTTTTTAAAAGAGCTATTGCAAGTCCTCTGCAAAAGTACCATAGTTATGAGAGAATTCGAGTGCTAAGCTGCCACCATCTGTCTTGCCATGTCTATGTAGCTATGTAGCTATTTCAGAGTACACTCATGCATCCGGGTAACATGGGAGAGCATCCTGCTTTTTTTTAATCACTAGGAATCACTAGGAATGACATAAATGACACTGCCTGAAGAAACACAAGAAATAACCATAAGCAGAACAATCGTTTTCCTGAAATTTGGAGAGAAAACATATTGAATAAATATGTATTGGACTGATGCATGTTATCAGCAAAGACCAAAAGTGAGATACTTTTCACAGTGCCCCTTTAACAACCACATTATAGCTGAATGTTTTTGACTGAAAAGTACTGTTTGCTACCACACGTGCTTTTGGTTGAAGGGGAGAAACATTTACAGGTACTTGCTGCTGAGTACAGCTTTCTGATGTCCAGCACAAAGATAATAAGGCTAAAATCTTTCCCAGTCACAGGGTCATTGCTAACTAAATAGACAGACCTCAAGCATTTTTCCATTGGTGGCTTTAGCCATGTCAGAAGGAGAGACTCAGTTAACAAAGTCTCCAGAAATTCAGGCTCCATATTACTTGTGGGTAGCTCCATACTGATGCAACACACAGCAAACATATAAAATGCCTGCAGTGTGTTCCTGCTTTAAAAGCATCCATGCCCTGTGAATCCATAGCCCATGTAAAAGCATCAGGAGCCCCTTGATTCCAAGCAGGTTGCATGGGTGCTCCAAAATCTGTCAACTTGCTCTCACTTCCTTTAGCTTCCAATGACTTCACTCACCAACAGCTTTTATGACAGCCAAACTTCAACCAAGGTCACAGTGGCATATTTGCCCTCCCAACACATCATATCCTGGCAGCATAGCTGTACGACTAAGTGGCTGCATGCTTAAGAGGATTCCAGGTCCTGGGGTGATCCATGGATTTCAGTATGTCTGCCCTGTTCTTCATACATTGGCCCATAGTAAGAAATACCCTCTTACTCTCTTTAGTTTCTCCTCACTTTGATACTTATGGAGAAGAAAGGGAGGTGTCGTAACATGGATGCTGCTACCCTCTTTCTGTAAGATACACCCAAGGGGCTACTGGTTTTTTGTGAGCTCTTTCCTCTTGCAGAACCTCTAAGTGATCACTGGGTATGTGAACTGCGCGCACACAAAGAGTAGGACAAGAGTAATCCTGAGAGAACTTGTCCCACTTTCAAGGAGCTTTATCAAATACTTGGCCCTTGCAACTTATTTGATTTTTTTCCCCCCTAGCCAAGGGAGTTTAGAATATTGGACCATTGTGGACCAAAATGAAAACCACCAGTATGTCCATTTAAAAGTCTTTCACAAATCAACTTCCAAATAACATTGTTTTCTCACAGTCTATTTAAAAAATTCTTAATTTGTCTCTAAAGCACTTTATAAAGAGAGGCCTCTTCAACAAATACAGGAATTTCCTTACACATACATTGTCTTCATAGTCAAATGGCTGGCATGGTGCTTTGTGTAGCCTTCGAGGCATGTCTTTGACTGTTTTAATTCCATACCTCAGCAAACTGTGTAATAGCCGTACATCTGTTTAAGTAATATCTACATGGTGCTTTACCATTACAAGGGACAGTGCTGTAAAATGCTTTCATCTGAGGTGCTAATGTATCCCTTTCTCTGCTGAGGGATAAGTTGGTGCTAAAAACCATATGTGTAGAAATGTAGTTAGGCATCTCATGCAGCTGGTTTTCTCTCCAAATTATGTACTGACACATTGCTGCTAACATGTCATTACACTTGCTTTGATGATTTCTGTGAATCAAAGGGGACAGGGAGTGGAAAGGCTATTGTACAATTTTGCATGCACATGGGTGTGTATGTGTTTTTGTTTTTAACCACTGAGGCTATCTACAATTGATGCAGTTCTGGCCAGCTCACCCTAGAGTTCTTCCCCTCAGGATTGAAAAAACAGGGCCTAACCCAGTTTCAGTGTAGCCATGTTGGTCTGCAGTAGAACAGTTAGATGCGAGTCCCAGTAGCACCTTGGAGGCCAACGAGAGTTTCAGCGGTATGGGTTTTCGAGAGTCAAAGCTCCCTTCATCAGACATGAGTCGGAATGGGGAATGGTTTCCATTCCTACTTGCATATGACGAAGGGAGCTTTGACTCTCGAAAGCTCATACCCCTGAGACTCTCGTTGGCCTCCAAGGTGCTACTGGGACTCGAATCTAAGGGTTTAATCCAGTATTCCTTAGGAAGCAGTGATACCAGGTGTGGGTGGTAATATTACCATCCCAGGTGGTTAAAAATAATCAGGGTAGCCCTGCCAAAAAGGAAAAAAAATCAAGTTTTAAACCAGTGTCATTTTTTTAAAAAAATGTGTAGAATGAACCCAAATTGAATCTGCAGTTTATTTCTGCAACCATGAAGAAGAAGAGTTGGTTTTTAAACCCCGCTTTTCACTACCCAAAGGAGTCTCGGAGCAGCTTACAATCTCCTTCCCTTCCTCTCCCCACAACAGACACCCCGTGAGGTAGGGTGCGGCTGAGAGAGCTCTGAGAGAACCGTGACTGTCCCAAGGTCACCCAGCTGGCTTCATGTGGAGGAGTGGGGAACCAAACTCGGTTCTCCAGATCAGAGTCCACTGTTCTTAACCTCTACACTACACTGGCTCTCTTTTTAGAGATTCTTTTTTTTCCAGTCCAACACAGAGTTAAATCAGATGGTTTTCTAAGTCACGTTTTATGGTTTTATAAAAACTGTCTGCTGCAAACTGGTTAAACATAATTTCAGTAGTTCACAAAATTTAATGAGTAATGTACAAAATTGGGATTAAGATGCTTAAACACGGTTCTGTAAAGCAGAAACAGACGTGCCCGACGTTGCATGTCCTCCTGCCCCTTCCCCCAGTACAATCATAGCCTCTCCAGCCCATCTTCCCTCTTCTCCTGCCTACTCACTATTCAGGGATGGAGAGTGAAATGATTAAAACCTGGATCTGCTGTTCACAGCAAACCGATTCTTACGAACAGTCGATCCCAATCCAGGTCAGGATCTGGTGTCATTCTTTACAGCCAGGGAGTAGGAAACCTTTTCTCTTTTTATGATAATGACCTGTGACTCTCCAGTGGAGAGTCTTGTGACCAAAGTATTTGCCGAATTCCAGCAGTCCTACCATGTGAAAAATTCCCTCCTGAGAAAAGTCTGCAGGGCTGAGCCACTTCCTTGCATATCACGATAGAGGTTTCTCTTTATGGCAAATATCTACATTTCATGTGCAACTGAACTCTAAGAGAGTTTAACCATGTAATCCTTTGTAGAGTTACTCTACTGTAAAACCATTGATTTCACAGGGCTTAAACTGGAGTAATTCTGCATTGGATTGCACTGTAAATGGATGATGATGATACAATTGGTGCTGAATGGGTGAAAAAAAATTAAAAGGCTTAAACCAAAACTGCTTGCTTTTACCTGAAAAGTGCAACCAAATAATGTTTGTCTACCTCGTTTTGATACCATATGCTACTATTCTAGGTAGTGGAGGAAAGTCATCTTGTAGTTTTATGTTGCCACACTTTCTTCTGACAATTTTAGAACACCAGCTTTCTGCTGTAGATGTCTGTACTTCATCTGTACCAGGTGGAGTGTTGCTTTCATGTTTTCGGACACTTTTGAAACAAGAGTATAGTATTGGCTGAAACTTTTTTCAGCAGAATGGGTTTCTTTATGTATTTATGTTAATGAAATGTATTTATTTTTCAACTATTGTTATTTAATTTTATATAAATGTTGCATTTCATTTACAATGTCTGAATGTTGGACAGAGGAAAAAAAATTAAAGTAGAATGTAATCATCAAGACACTTTGTAGAATGACTTCTTTGAATGTTTCTATTGCACGGTCGTCGTATGTGTTTTACATTGTGGAACAGCGAGGTTTCCCTCACAGAACATGTTAAAGTTCTCCTTCAAGTCTTCTTCAGGGGATTCAGCCATTTGTGTAACATGGTAATGTAAAGGAACATACATATTTGAAGACCAACTTGTTCAACTGAGTGCCTCTTCAGACATTTGTCATGAGGCAAACAAGGACTCAACAAATTGCGCCTGTCATGGTACCAGCTGTCACGGCACCTAGAAATTTCATTTTGGTGCCTATTAATTTCCAACAAGTACAAACCCTTTGACTTCTGTTGTCTCTTAACTTGGCTGCTGTTGCTGCTCCCAAGAGCTGTTGTTTACTTCCCCTCTCCTCTCCTGGCCATAACTGGAGAGTCTCAGCTACCTTTGGTAAGATCCACCCCATCCTGGTTGTTAGGGGTGGCGCAGAGCTTTCTGAAGCTAGATGAGTTTCTCTAATAATAACTGGATAATAGAGGAGGAATTAACATGCTGTTACTTTCTCACCAGTGCTCAGGAGACAAGTGCACATGTACCATACCGCCTAATGGGAGGTGCAGCCAGGCTTGCAGCACACAGCTAGCTAGTTCAGTACAATGGCTAACAGTGCAGTCCTAAGCAGAGTTACACCCTTGTAAGCCCATTGACTTCATTGGACTTAGGAG